GTGTAATCCTGGGGGGATTACCAAATCCATCTTGTATGGCCCCTTTCCCCTACCAGTGCCTGTGGTAAAAGGGGAAGAATCCTCAACGGCGATGGGCATATGGCACTCGCGCAGTGTCTTGAGGACCACTCGAACCATCCTGTTATGGAGGAAGGTTGAGGCGCCGGTCTTGGTGCAGACGAGGGAGTGGGCTCGGCTCAAGCGGTCCTTGCATGGTAACAATGCACCTGCACCACAAAGTTTGCCTGTGTTGCAGTCTGCTCGATCGTGACTCCCCAGTACACGACCGATTGACTCTCGATATAGATCAGGCAGCATTCTTTCATCTGCTGACAACCCTTGCGTTGTCAACCACGACAAAACTCCCTTGCCTTTCGCTTCCTCCAAGCGGATCAACGCCCTCTTCTTTGGCGTTTCCTCGCCTACTACTTTCTGCAAGTCTGTCTCCACCATGTGGCGCACTGCTGCATGAAGAGGTTTCGAAAGGAGAGCTTGGGCTCCAAAGACTTGGTAGTGTTGACCAAATTCATTTCGGCTGAAGGTAGACGGTGGTTGATGTTCTACGTCAGGGTTTCCATCTTCACGGGGTTTTCCCGCCTTCCCTGCTTCCAACAAGTAAACTCCTTTGAGGGCGGGGGTTAACTCATCACTTGTGGCAAGTTTAGCCCATGACTGCCCAACAGCTTTTTCAAGCTTGTCTTTGGTGATGATTTCCTCTAGCTTCTTCAGCGAGTCAATCAGAGCCAATCCTGTCGGTAGCTGGGCAAGCCGGGGTAGACATTGCTCAACTGTGTATCCTGTCGATGCTTGCACTGACTTGGAGAACACCAGCGCTTGCCCTGCCACAAAAGCCGATTCTCGAATGAGAACATTGCTCGTGATTCCTAGTCCTCCTTCTCGCATGGGTAGGTGCACCTGCGCCCGAGCTGTCCCTTTGAAGAAATCTACCTCCTCGCTCTTCGTCGGGTCTGCGCGTACCTCTTTGACCGTTGGTATTCTCATGCTGTCGGCCATCTTGCCAAGGACGATCTTACTCATTGCCCACATCATCATGTTGTCATGTATTTTTGCGGCAGAGTTGGTGATAGACGGTGCAATCGTCCTCAGCAGATGGAACAAACGTGGCACACCAGATAAACGCAGCAGTTGATAGCTGGCTTGAGGGTCGTCAAGCGTTGCTAGGCGGAGTATCAATTCCGCCGGGTCACCACGGGCGATTTTGGAAACGAAATTCCTCTGGAACTCCTCTGTTCCTACTGGGATCCCGACAACTGGCATGCCACCTTCAGTAACTGACAGACCAATTTTCGTCAATTGTTGCTGTTCGTCGTTTGTCAAAGAGGACATGCAAAGACCTTCCGGGAAAAGCACTTTGGATTTCGGGAGACTGAGCTCAATGCCTTTTTGGGAGAGACGTTCCTGAATCCAATTCGTTACAGTGGATATGGCCTGCATGTTCCTAGCCAAACCTGGTGGAAGATGTGCTTGGAGGTCGTCGACGTATCCGATGAGTTTGACTCCTGGCACTGGTGGCTTGTTGTTGAACTCTTTCATGATATCAAGAAGTCCTACACAGAAGCCAAACCCTCCCAAATTGCAGCCTTGTTGAACTCCGCGCTGTGAAAGAACAACCTCGATCGAACCATCTTCCATTTTGAACAGAAGTTTCGCCTTGGTTCGAGCGTAGATGTTCCCGAAGTACTTCACCAAGTGTGGCGTATGAGTGGCCACTGCTGGCAAGATGGAAGATCTGCGCATGCTGTTGTAAGCGTTTTTCCCATCAAAGGAGAGAATGGTGCTGCCTTGCTGGTGGCTGAGGGCTGCTGTGGAAGCCACTATCTCAACTCCTCCTGGAACACCACCTCCGAACTGATTTGCTGCTTCGAAGATGTTCGCAATTCCTCCCTTGTACTGGCGGCAGAAGCTGCCGCTGATGATGCGACGCAAAACCCCTCCAACTGCAATCGGCCGTTTTTTCTCTCCCAGCGCTGAAAGGTTGGCACTGGTGTGGAGGTTCCAAAAGAAATCCGGAAGCTCGTCTCCGTAGTAGAAGACTTTAAAGCTGAAGTCCGCCAAGGTTTCAGTAAAAAAATCACTCATCCCACCAGCTTGGAGATACGAAAAACGAAGACCATCAGGCCCCGGAGCACTCTGAGGGTTGGCTTTCTTTACCGTCTGCTTGATGAACTTGATTTCGAATGGTTCATCAGCTTCGGCAACGGAGTCGATCTTGTGCGTTTTTATACGATCTCCCGCAGCTTTGATGCTGGAATCCCACGCAGTAGCAATATCGTCAGGATCTTCGTTAGGGTGTAGGTTGCGAAGATGCTCCAGCGTGTCGTTGTTGCGCGGTGAAGGTGCTGGGGAAATTAAGGCACTGGCAGCTTTAGTGATGCCTCCGCTTTCGTGCGCAAGTCTTGTGGCTCTTCTTTGGCGATTGTCTTCAGTATCCGCATAATACTGAAGTCGACGATTCTTCTCGTACATCATGAGCCAGGCGATAGGTTCACTCAGATCACCATTTGCAAAGCGGTTAAATCGGGATACCCTGTTCATCCTTCCATCAGTCGATCCATGCAATGCTGGGGTAAGATGAAGCAACTTTGTTGCTCGGACAAGTTGGAGTTGTCTTTCAACACGTGCTACTTCATATCTTTCCGCTGCAAGAGGAGACAGATCTGAGGTATCTGACTTCTGCTGATCTATGTGTACAGCTCCAAATGCTTGCACGAAGAGGATGACGACATGTTGGAAGTGTTTGCAAAATACTTTCGCCAGTTGCGGATCGATGTGTTTGACTGTCGAAAAAATTGACGTTTCAAGAGTATCTTGTCGAACCTGATCCAGGGCGCTGCTGACGTCGTTGAGGTCCCACGGTAATAGGAGTTGCCGCCTATCGTCATCATCCTCTTGCGGTGGCTGCAACGACCCAGAGAGAGATGGAGACGATGTAGTACCTGGTTCGCAACAATGCTTGGTGCGTGGAGAGAAAAGGTCGCCGCATGTGCCACATGCGGCGTAACCAGGTGCTTGGCTGCTCGAGCGCAAGGATCCAGGAGGAGACAAATTGAGTAGTAGCTCCTTTCCTCGACCTTTATGCTGACGTTTTTGGTGTGTAGCCAGATTCCTCGCCGTCAGGTTCGTTGATCCTTCGCTGATGCAGAGGGGACATGAATACCGTACTTCCGTTGGGCATCGTGGTGCAGGTCCAGGTACGGGTGATGGTGGTGCCAAATCTTGGTTCATGACACCGCTCGTTACCGATGCGATTGGAGGCTCCAGTGCAAAGCGATTCCACGTCAGTCCATCAGTCTACTACTGCTGCTGCTGCTACTGCCTTCCACCACCCACGCTCGTGCGTGGTGGAAGTGGTGATCTCAGTGCGTGTGGGGGGGGATTGGTAACGTGCGAACCTTCATCTCGTCTGCGCTCTCAATAGTATACCACATTCAAAGAGATACCGAGGATCTCTTAAAGGACCAGCACGGTTGCCCGGGGCAAGCTGCGTTGCCGATCTCCTAAAAATGCTATTAGTTACATGTAGCCTCGTATTTTCGCGAAGTAGGAAATGCAACTAAATACATTTCAACATATGGAGTGGGTAAAACAAGAACAACCCTGACAAAAAATGAAGCGGCAGAGATCCTCAAGACTAATGAAACTGAAGATGATTAAGCTTGTAGGTTGCGTTGAATAAATACAAACCAAATATCCCCTCACCACCTTTGCGTACCCCTCCCCCTACCCCCTGCTACTGTTTTGCGTTTTCTTGTCTTTGGGGGTGCGTGTGCTTAGGCACCTCTCCCCAACTGGGTTTGTCTGGGCCAGGGCACACCACACACATACGCAACCGCACGCGCACGCGACCACGTCGCACGATGACACGGAAAACTCGGGTGTGAATCAACGATCAGAGGCATACACAAACAGTCTTAATACAGTGAGTACGTGACGGAAGCAGAGGACATGAGCAACCGGGGGTGTAAGAAAATCAGCAACACCGGGCAGCACAAATAGGCACAAAGGCAAGAAACTTCGTGTTTAGAACATCATAGAGGTAGGCTTCGTGGCCAGACCAAACCAACAGATCGAATATGCCATGAAGGCTTCGGACGAACACCCACCCTTTCCCCACAATCTCGGCATACAAGCGCTGGCGCAGAATCCATTCTTTTTACGAATACGTAGTGACTGTCGCGTGCTACGATGAGCTGCCAAGCCTTTTTAAGCGCACAGTCATGTCGGGGGCCCCGTTGACAATTTTCGATGCCGGCAGAGTTCCTTGGAAGAAATCGACTACAGCACCGCATACTTCAGCCAAAACGCGTTCTCCGGCTTCCTCCGTGGAGCCTCCGATATGCGGAGTGCACAGCACATTCGGCAGTCTGCCAACGGCAGCACGTGGGCGTCGAACTCAACCCAGTCAGTATCGGAAGTGCACGAGGAACTAGGACGGCTGTGGGAAAAGCGTCTGATTGGCACATTGCATCGGCCGCGATCAAGGGTGCGAAGAGGCGGGTATTCTACAGCAACCACAAAGGTGCTCACTGTGAACCATTACCGGAAGCACGCCCTTTCATCTGGTTAGCCGGAAAGGCCGCAGACTATTTTGTCCATTTCACATTCGCGGGGAGGAAGTAGGCGAACATACGGCAAGAAACACGATTAGAGTCACCTGCACAGATTGACGATATGATCCTGAAGAGGGGACCTCTCACACTCGAATACATCAAGGGCTGCGCCTCCCAAATGCCCCTGCTCCAGGCTCTGGAGTAGCGCTGGGAGCAATTAACGCGACAATATTAAGCACGCCGGTTGGAAACATAGGTACAGAACATCGCTATCTGGGTGCCCTATCCGAAGGCCTTTGATAAAAATTACACAATCAATGCATCCCACAGAGACAGCACTCGCGCACCTAATTCGTCCACCACTCCTCCTCTCGCCGCATTGATAACCACGGCAGATGGCTTCATCAGGGCCAGTTCGCGTCTAGAAATCAGGCCCTTCGTGTCCGCCGTCAGCGGGCAGTGCACAGAAAAAAAGTCGCTCTTCGACAAGAGTTCGTCGAGCGGCAGAGGAGGCAACGTTACCCCTGCTTGGCTTGCCATACCCTCCCTCTCGGATGCGCGTGGGTCGATTTCCTCAGCTCTCCCCGAGCAAGGCGTCGGACTCGACCCTTCTGCTATCATTACCACCATGCCGAAAGCCACGGCCAGTCTTGCCAGCTGATGTGTTGCAGGGACGTTGAGGGTCGGTGGAAGTTGACATTTTCTTTTCGACGTCACGCACGGCGTACGTTAGAGAGGCTGACCTACGGAGACAAACACGACCCTTGTCTGGACTTCAGCACTAACATGGTGCCGGCAGTCCCGGCCGGGGCAGCAGACGAAAATTGGCAAGCTAGCGTGTGGTGCTACATGATACCAACCTCGAAGCGGAAAGCAACAAAAAACAGCCATTTGCAAGATGCTGCGACCGCTTGATGCACGCGATTTTGATCGATCGTCGCGTTTTCGAACCCTGACGTCGACCATGTCGAAACTCTGCAAGAAAAAAAAAGTGAGGGGTATGAGCCTGACCTCATATCCTGAACTTCGACAACAGCCAACAATGAGGTAGAGCTGGAAACCCAGCGGGGGCAGGATATCTGTTTTAGGCTATGATTTCTGGCGGGACTCGACGAGAGAGCAAGAAAAATGGAGCAATAGGTATGCACGTACCGCTATGCCCACAGAACCGAAGCCTACAATTCCCAGTGTCTTTCCGCTGAGTGTGCGGCCAGTGAAATTGCTCTTAGCCCATTCCCCGCGTCTTGTGGTGTCGTGCGCTGGCGAAATGCTCCGTGACACGCCGAGCATCAAGCCCATTACCAACTCTTGCGGAGACAAGATCAACGGAGAACGCGTGATTGGTGCGTTTAAATGCATCATATCATTGATATTCATATTCTAGGTCTTGCTTGCTCGAGACTCAGAATCGCGCAACAGCAAATTCACGGTTCATCTGCCTACGTATTGCCGGTTATATCTACGAGATGCAACCCAAAGCACCGGAGCTATTTTTTCTAGGAAGTAGCGATCAGCAAGCCGCTTTCCGTGCTGCACTCGAGTCGGCTGACCTGCAACAGACCCTGAGTTTCCCGTGGGAGCATTCACAACAGGTACCCCGAGCTCGGAGGCCGCCTTCAGGTCGATATTGTCCACCCCAGACCCCGCACGCCCTACTATCGCCACCCGGGGACTCGCGACTAGCATGTTGCGAGTGATTTGATTGGCCGAACGAACCACGACCGCGTCATACGCTGGGAGGACTTGCTCAAGCTCGGGATCGCTTAAACCATGCGCGGCGGTCACCTTGATGACAAAGAGGGTTAACGGCGCCATGACATTGGTCATGCAAACGGCAGCAAAGTCTCAATAATTGGTCCATGGTGCAGTCAATGTTCAACTTCGGCCATCAAGTTACTGGCCGGCAAATCTTACGACCAGGCGAAGACACACGTTACAACGTGAAAAACAGGCAGTGGAATCAACAGAGAGAACGCTTCACAGCCGATTGCTGAACACGGAAAACCGTACACAATGAGTTCTGTGGTCGTCCAGCTGCTGTACCATCCAGCCAGAAACCTACTCGGATTTTACGTGTCAAGTTCGAGAAATGTATGCCACACTCAATATGCGACATCACAGGCTGTGTCATGTGCGAACTTTAGGGGTCATCAAACATGATGCAAAGTGCACCAGGGTTCATACTTGGTTTCGTCATCGCAAAAACAAGCATAGGAGAAGAACCCGGGAGGGTAGGCCTATATGTCTAGAACACCGCTCTGTCCACCCACACGCACATAGCTACTCTATCTCTGTTTCACCCGCGATGTTGGGCAGAGGCAACCTAGGAACGGCAGACAACGCAGTCGGGGTCGCTTGCGGGCTCACGGCAGTTCATGCCCTCCAAATTTTGAGGAGTGCCACGGTATGTGACTTGAAAGCAACATCCATGGGCAACAAATATGGTACTTATAAAACCCCCTTCAACGCGTTTCACCTACACTCATCACACACGAAGAACAACATAACATCGTAGATTTCAAAATAAGCGGGAAACAGCTACATACAGTCAATTCTACAATACAACTCCAACTTTTTTTTTTTTTGTGGTGGGTGTGCAACAGTCCTACTGCTGTACATACTGTAGTCTATTCAAGTCGCCTAAAACAGTAGAGAGGTACTTTCTAAAAACAGCAAGTTGTCAAACGACACTGCGCCATGTTCCCTGTGAAGGCTACATTAAAAATGTATCCGCCTATACAGATGTTTTTGTTCTTAGCTCCAACTGGCATCACTGATACAGACTGATAACTCAGTGTTAGGCTTACACAAACTCAAAAATGAGCAGAGTCTCCAATCGGTTTCAATCCACTTTCTGCTTCACATCCCTTTCGACTGAGGTTATAGATATCTCGAACGGGTATAGTCTTTCGGTTAGGTTATGTTTACTTTCTACAAACATGTTCGCCTGGGGTTACCTCGTGCAGGCGAAATTCTTTCTGAACAATCTCTACATGTTAAGGTGTAGAGCATAAGCACTACGCTGCAAGTCGGCGCTGACTTGCCGCAGAGTGGATATGATGCACATCTTAACTAAAGTACGTACAGCCGGGGTTCAACTCGTTTGCGCTGTTTGACCTCGTAATTAACCCCAGGATTGTAACCCCTGTAGTCAGCGCTGCCCATCATTTCGTGCTGTTGTGTGTGCGGGGGTGCGCCTCGACGAAAGGGGAGCAACTCTTAGCAGACTACGGTGAACATTGTCAAACCCACCTGGTATCCAGCTGTCTCAATCCCCTGCCCAGATTACGACAACAAAGCGAGAACATAGGTTGCCAAAGATGAGTTAGATTGTGTGATCGTGTGGCCAATGGAATGTGGAAGCAGCCTTGGTGCTCTTAGGCATGCAAGGGTGCGCAAGCACAAAAGATAAAACCACCCGCTATCTCTCTCCTGCATTCCTGCATTCAAGGGTGTGGGACGTAAGCATAGACACAGCCGCCTCTCTCTCTCTCTCTCTCTCTCTCTCTCTCTCTCTCTCT